AAATGCCAGAGAAGTTTTATGCCAGAGAAGTTTTAAGCCAGAGAAGTTTTATGCCAGGGAAGTTTTGACAATCACAAATCTTCGAGTTCAGTGGATGTTACCCATTATATGATCAATTTCTATCCCTCAATACAATACATTCTTCATTCTATGAACCTTAGCAGTTGTTACCCATAATATCAGTTGTAATTTTGGATGTCATACATAACCCATATATGTGTGTTACCAGAGCATGTCCCAAAATTTTGTACCGCCCTGTGTAAAGGAATTACAGAGATGATCGTTAAGAACATTTGTAATCAGATGACTTTAGCTACTTGGAACTACGTGACCTTACCTAACTAGCTGTTTTGCTGAAAACAGGGTGTGAACACCAATTGTCTCTAAAACAGATCCAGGTAATAAAACCTAATTTTTTCTCTAACTTTGGATATCAGAAACACTAATTAGATCTACACTTGAGGTTTCCCCATTGGTGTGACCTGAGCAAAACTGCACAGAAATTTGGGAGAGGCCATTTGACGAGCCATTGATCTGAATAATTTGGGGGACAAAATCCCAAGGGTGGAATTGCTGCGGTGACACAGCTATAAGTTGGTGTCACATTATTTCTCATTAATTGTGAGCTGTCAGTAGGCTGACCTAACGTTCTAGCATGCCTCTTGAGGGCCTTCCCAATTGAGCTTTCAGGAGGAGGGTAGGAAAGTCAGGAAAATCATGCAATCCCATTTGGGGGAGGGAAAGCACCTCGAGATTTGTGAGCTTCCCTGGGAGAGGTGTTTACCACAAATGTCACATCAATTAAAGGATAGTCTGTAGAGAGAGAAAGCCAAGATCAGGGGTAAAAGAGAAAGGCAAGGTAGCACTGGAAGCTTGGGCATGACACAGAAACATCTCTGCTTTTACCAGCTGAAAAGACCAAGCATCCCCAGTGAAGGGGCTGGCAATGTGTTTGGAATTCTCATCCTGACCCGAGCATCAGGTGGAACTCCTTCTTACCTTCAGATCTTTACCCTCCACTCTCTCCTTAACATTAACTGTGACATTCCAGGTCTACCCCCACCCTTTTCCCCTGTCCGGCACCTTGTAGAAGGAAAACCATCTAAGGAAAGAAGTAGCCAGTGCCAGTTTTGCCCTCCTTCTCCCGGGGCACACGGAGCAATGGGCGGTCTTGTTCTGGAATGGGGAGGTTACCCGCTCCTTCCTCATCGTCATGGGAACGGGCAGTGCCGGAAGGCAGAGCTAGCTCCTCAGAGGAACCTGGAAAATAGTAACAATGTTAACTCCTTATATTTCTAGACCTTATACTTTGCACAGCACTCAAGGCAGTAAGACCTAATTTTGAGTTTTAAATACAGTATGGGGCAAGAAGGTAGGACAGGAATGATTATCTCCATCTGACATGTAAGAATATTACAGCCTGACAGTAGAATACAGATATCCAAATCTAGGACCACTGTGGAAACTGGAAGAAGAGCTGAGTTAGGAATGAGAAAGAGTAAGTCAGATACCCTGTGTTCAGAGGGAATGGACAATACCACCAGAGAGACTGGTAAAAGGATGACCTCCTAATAACCACCACCACCCTACGAGTAACCTGACTAATTTTACCAAGCAAATGAGTAACAAAGCTGGAGCCGAAAGCTTACAGCACTGCATGGAAGAGAGAAAGCAGGTGTTGCTCTTCAACACCTCTGGGGAGGACTTATCGTACATGACTTGGCCAGGCTGAGATTTGTTTTTAAGGAGAGTGGTATCTACAGGGAACGCAACATCTGCATCGTTATGAAACTGAATTGCCTTTGGATTCTGAACTTCGTTAGAGTAAGAATCTTTAGGCCTTGGGACTTCTTCCACATTCATGACTTCTTCAATATTGACAGCCAGGTCTCATGGAGGGTCTGGAATTGTATTGAGAATGGAGACATCTTCAGTTTCTGGAGCCATAGTGATAATTTCTTCTTCTTCCAATGCATTGGCTTGGTCTTTCTGATAATCTTGAATTTTGTTGTGAATTTGGGCATCCTTGGGCTCATGGCTTGGGACCACATGAAGAGCTGGGACTTCTTCAAAATCAAGATCTTCTTCAGAGTCTGAAATTCCATTTACCTCTGGGGCTTTGTAGTCTGGGATTTCTTCAGCGTTTGAGGGACTTCATCAACAGCTGGGACCTCTTCAAGACTGGGATCTTCTTCAGAATCTTGGGTTTCATCATTATCTGAAACATCTGCATGGTCTGGGATTTCATTGTTTGGGATTACATCAAGATAGGGAACTTGTGCAAGGTTAAGATTTTGGTGGTCTTCAAAATCTGACCCTTCTTCTAGGTCATGGTTTGAGTTTTCTCCAGGGTTTGGGGTTTCTTGCACATCTGGGGCTCCTTCAGGGTCTGGGACCATATCTACATACGGTATTTCTTCAAAGTCTGGGATGTCAATGAGTTCTGGAATTTCATAATCTGGTTCTAAAGTATCCCCAAGGGGAGGAAGATAATCAAAATTTAAAGTATCATCATCATCATCTTCCTCATCAAGCTCTGGTATTCCTTCAAGATGTGGGCCCTGAATCTCAAGGTTATTTGGGATTTCTAGACCTAGAGCTTCCCCAAAGACTACTCCTTAAGATATTCAAATACTAGCTGTTTGTCTTCCTCAGAGGGCTCATCGTCCTCAAGAGGCTCATCTTGAGCAAGGACCTGGCCTTCAAGAAGGGCCTGACCTTCAGCAAGGGACTAACCTTCAGCAAGGGTCTGACCCGCAGCAGGGAACTGACCTTCATCAAAAGGCGTGCTTTGAGCAAGGACAGCAGCCTGGGCCTCAGCAGAGGTTTCCACTGGATCAGAAAGTAGTGCATCCTCTTCCATCTTTATGCGTGCACTCCTGAATGGGAAGGGTTTTGAAAAAGTCATTTTCTGTATTTGCATTACTTAATATAAAGTTGTTCTGGAGTTGGAAAACCCCATAGGAGAAGGTGCTTCAGGCTAAGCACAAACAAACCCAAAAAACACTCACTGGATCCTCCTCAGGTTCCTGCGTCTGATAAAATCAAGCGCTTCTGGGCTGGACTTCCACACACGCTTTGCAACCTGCCTCTGAATATTGGGAGGCACCTGAGGGTAGAATTAGCAACATTAGCCATTATTACACAGCAACTTTCAGGTTCCCAGGACTGAAGGTACCAAGGCCAGCTAATTTGGGAGAAATTTCTGGATTGGAAGGTTTTGTGGCTGCCTGTTTTGGCTACCCTCAAAGATGCAAAGTACAACTGTGCCTTGCCTTGTGAACAGACGAGGGATGTGTAAAATAAGTCCATCCAAAACTTGCACCTACCTGGAAGAGGACATCCCAGTTATCAATCATGGCACGGACCACATTGACAGAAGCAACATACTGATCAATCCTCAGCTTTGTTTTCCTGGCCTCTCTCTTGCCAAACTTTCCCTTTTTCAGGAGAGCAGATCCAAATACCAAGGCCAAATTGGTAGAAGTCATACGGTTGCCTGGGACCTAGGTAATGGAAGACACAAAGTGATTGACGTAGTACTGGGAGTTGTACAAATGGATATGTCTCTTTTTATTCCTGTTTCTCTCTCCCCTCTCCATCCACCCTCTTGCTGGTATACTCCCACATATGTCCCCTACTACAGTTCTCACTACTCTTGCCCAGATTTTTTTTACCAGCTGTCCATCAATGCCAATTGAGTCCTCGCAGTACTCAGTGATTTTATGCAGGGCCTTCAGCAGACGTTCCAGGGTATCACTGTGGCAGGGTGGCATCAGGTAGACCAGCAACTGCAGGGCAGAAAGCTGATCCTGGGGCTTTAAAGCTAGAGGAAGGAAAACAGGGGCTGTCTCAGGGGGATAGTGTTGGCAGCAGACTGATACCAGTGGGGGTGGGATTCTGCTTGAAATTTGCTGGCAGTTATGGAAAAAGCACCCAGGCATCCTGCCTTTGCTCATTTCCAAAGCATTTGAGCTCAGGAACCCTGAAAGCAAGAAGTGCCCCCATCAAAATCAGACCTCCTCTACAGAACCTGGGTTCTTTTTTGACCTGAGAGGGAACACACAACTTCAAGAAACTCTAGAGAAATTTCCAAACAACAAACTTATAATGGAACATTAAGAGATACAAAGAAAGTAACCCAGAGTTTTTATTAATATTTTATTTTTAATTGACAAATATAACTGTATGTATTCTGGAGAGGTTTGTTTTTCATCTTCTTATGTTCATTCTGCCTTAGTTCTGCGAAGTCCTCCAGCCCGGCCTCTGTCCCTAGAACTCCTAGACTTTCCTTGCCCTACTAAGGGAGGTCAGAAGACTCACTTGCTGTCAGGAGGAATGACAGATACAGATCATCTGGCAGCAGAGAGTCCTTCATGTCATGGAAAAACTCCTTGAGGAGTGCAGCCACATCATGCACATTCTGATTGTCATCCAGCACTACATCCAGGCCTTGATCAAATGCTTCACGGAGCTAGGAAAAGAAGACATAGATTGTCTACCCCATCCACCACAGGCTCCATCTTGATTATTCCTTCAATAAGTTTCAGACTTCAGTTGAGGTAGCTGGCAACATGGTGGGCCTGGGGGCTACAAAGAAGACCTTGCTCCTCCCCCCACCAGGTAGTCAAGTCTACGGGGTTGCCCCACCTCCTCCTGCTCTTTCTCTGGAGGAACAAACATGTAAACATAGCCAATTTACCTTACGCACTCTATGCGCCGAGTATTCAAGAGTAAAAATCCCCACTGTGCTTAAGCCTGAAAGAAAAGACCAGAGGATGCTCAGCATCTCTGAACCCCTTTTCCTATGGCATTTCCCTTCTCCTCCCCCACTGCATCCTGACATCCACTGGTGTCAGGGGAATGTTATCCAAGCCCTTCATTCCCTACCTCCTTTCTCCCCCCATTTCTAGAACATCCCTCCTTTCCCATTAATTGCCTCCTTCCTTGATTTACCCATTTGGAGCTCACTTACCATGTTTTTCAATGAATTGGCAGCAAGCCTCAACAACCTGCGGGACTTGTTTCGCAATCGGATTGAGGCTCATCTTCCTTTTGGATCCCAGAAGTCGCTGGCCAATTGGAAAGGAAACTTTTGAAAGCTGCAGGGTCTGCAGCAGCAGGGCCCCATCTTCCAGCTCAGCCAGACTATCCACGCACACTGCACCCTGTGGAGAAATCCAGATTCTCTTAAAATGGGAAATAAAGACAGTCTATTAGGACTTTCCTGAGTACTGTATGACATTCAGACTAAGATACATTCTCTTTGTGGCAAGCCAAGGACATCATTTCAACATATTGTGTTCAGCTCCCCCCTCCCTCTGAGGACGCAGGCCTTAACCCTCCGACCTTACATTCCTGCATGCCTCCGGAAAGACCCTTGCCTAAAACCTGGAGGGTTTAACTCACTCGACGCCCACGGCGAGTGAACTCCCGGGGCAAGGTGGGCTCATTCCTCCTGCGACTGAAAAAGCGCCTGATGCGGCCAAACATCCTTTGCACCACGTTTCCCCGACGACGGCCCGAACCCTGACCGTTGGCTTCTTCAACCTGCATCGCGGCTGTCAGTTCAAGTTGCTTGCGGCGGGTAAGCTCGTTCACTAGGACCTCTTCCAGGCGAACGCCAAATGTCTTGAGTGATACAACTGGAGAGCCACGGAGAGAAAGAATGACAGACGTCAAAGCCTCGCGGCGCTCAAGTCAGGAGGAACTGCAGGGGCTGTAGCACTTCTCCCAGCAACCACCCACAGCAAACCCCACCTCTCCAGGCCCGCAGCGCCCCTCCCTGGGGAGCTAGCCAAAAAGACCCCGCGGTGGTTTCAGCTCTACTCAACCGTCCCAAAGAGGCTCGAAGTCCCTGCCTTAAATTTTCCCTGGGGGTGACTACCTTGAAGCAATGAGGGCGATTTCTTTGGGTTGATCTGTGTGGAGTGAGTCCACCAGGAAGGTCTGAGAGGACCGCCTCAAGCACCTACAACTACTGCGCCATTTCCTGATATCACCCCCTATGGGGTTTGGGGGCGGAGGAGAGTGTCTCCCGGGACAGTGGACGCCACCCAGTCTCCAGGGCCACACTACGCAGGGGGTTAGCATTCTGTTTCTTTTCTAAAGAAAATACAACAGCCCCCTCACCCCTCTCTGGTCCTCTCAAATTCACAAACAACTTCTCCAAGGTGTTCGGACGGTCAATAGGCAGAGCTACGGGAAGAGAAAAAGAAAAGATACACTCACAAATAGGACTTGAAAAGTGACTAAAACACCCCAATACACTGATCTGCAGCAGCGGGAGGGGATGGCAGAGAGGCGAGCTCTGTCCAGCCGGCGAAAAGTGATTTGCTTTCTCTAAGCCTCAGTTTCCCCACATGACAACAAGACCAAGCCTCTCATATCAGACTCCAAGAATTTAACCAAGCCAAACAATCTAATGCGCCGCGTCCGCACCGCGCATCTTGCAACGCACCGATAGTCGCTCAATACAACACTTAAAACATAAATTCCGGGGCTCCGAAGCGCGGATCACGCAACAGGAGAGGGGAGGGAGGGGCTCTCCTGCTGCGCCACCTCGGGTGAGGGTCGCCAAGTTACTGCAGGAGTACTCGCACCGGGTTGCAGTCGGCCCTCTGCGCTGCCGTAGGAGAGGCGGCGACACCTGGCTGTCCCCGCGCTCGGAATCGGGCGTCAGTGGCTGCCAGCGGGGGCTCCTCGCCCAATTCTAGCTGCGCTCGCCACGCGCGCTTAGCGAACCTGCCACCCCCAGCACTCTCCAATCCCTATGGGGTGCCCCCCGGTCCGCGCTACCCACTCCTTCCTCTCCTGGACTCCCCTGCCAAATCCGCTCACGTACCTCCGAGATTCCCCGGTGCGCTCGAACCCCGGTGCGCTCGAACCCCGTCCGCGTCCTGCTAGCTCCCCAGCAGCAAGCAGAGGTGGGCAGCGCTCGCCGCGCACCTCCCGCCGCCTCCCCAGCGCCTGCACAGCCCTCCCCCTTACCGCCCGGCTTGGAGCGTCTCTCTCTCTCTCACACTATCTCGCTATCTCCCTCTACTCTCTGTCTCTCGACCGCGCTGTCTCTGTCTGTCCCGGGTCTCTCCCAGAGCGTCCCTCTGCGCCCCCGTCTCGCTCTGCCTTACTCTCGCACCGCACTTGGTGTGTCTGTCTCTTCACTGGCTCTCTGTCCACCTGTCTGTCCCTGACATCTGCCCGTCTGTCTTATTGCCCCTTAACCCCCAGGCTTCGTCCAAACTCAACTAATTTTTACCTCTTCCGCAGTTCAACAAACAGCCTTCAACTCCGGCTTCTTCAGTTCCCCAGACGCCAGGAGAGCTAACCTGGTCTGAGACCAGGAGTGAGACCCTCCCACCCTCCTAGACCCCCTAATCCGCCCCGTACTGACCGGAGGGTCCACTCTCCCGAAGGCGAGGATGCCACACTCCGGGGTACAGCTTACCTCTTTCAGGTTTGAATTCGGAGAGGAAATGTCTGGCCACGAGTTCGCGGTAAGCAGTCTCCTGCAGCTTCAGACGCTCCAGCTCGGAGAGGCTGTGTATAGATACCATCTTCGTCCGGCGCTCCTGGTTGTGTACTGGGGCTCCTCCCAAGACACTCACTAAAAAAATGAAGGCGGACAACAGCAACAAAAGGGGCATGATTCTGGGGCACAATGCCCTTGCTGCCTTCGGAAAAGGAATGCAGCCACCCATTCTGGAATGGAATGATTATCAAGGCTGCATCATCCAATTGTCACTGGACCTGGTGGACAGAACTATGGGGGTGGGGGCAAAAGGGGAGGGAAAACTGGGAGGCGGCTTCAACCTCAAGCAGAACAGCCTCTGATTGCTTTTGTTAAAAAAAAGAAAAAAAATCCAACTTCAAAAAAATCAGCCCTTAACAGACATCAGCCCTGAACAGACAGTCCAGAAAAGAGAAAACCTAATTAGAAAAAAACTACAAAGAGAGAAAACAAAAATAAAAGACAAAAACATTTTTTAACAAAATCACTTTGAAACAAAAATAAGACAATATTTTCCATTAATTAATTAGAACATTTTTAAGGTTTTTTTTTTTTTTTCATGATGATACTCAGTGCTGCCTAGGTTGAATAAAAGGGGGACTTTCATCTAAGCTAGGAGAGCTGCAAATTCATACAAGTCTTCCAGAAAGCACACTGAACACATGGGTCTGGAGTCAAAAATCGTCCCCAGGCCCTTTGACCTAGTAACTCCCCCTTCTAGGAATCTATCCTAATAAAATCATCTTACAGACAGGAAAAAGTATATGCACATAAACCAAAGTAGTAACAAAAAAGGGGGGGGAAAGCTAGCCCAGCAATAATATTAGTCATATAAACTTTGTAATGGCCACAGTATGGAAAAATTATGCAATCATTAAAGTGATATTTACAAAGAGTTTTTTGACAACAAACACAAAACACAGAATTGTATTAATTTTGATTGCAACTACATGAAGAAAAGCATGCATAAAAATAAAAGACTGAAGGAAATGCACTCAAATGCTAACAGCATTTGCATTAACTGGTCAGATTTTGTTTGCCTGTTGCCTTTTCTCTATATACCAAACATTGTACAACTTGATTATATTACTTTAAAAAAACAATAATAATTTGTACCAAAACCAACAAACATCATTTCCAGACCACTTCTAGTAAGACTCCTTAAACAGAATTGGTGATCAAAGTGAAGTTTATCTTAGTGCAATGGTAAAATCTATTTTATATGTGCCTTCTCCATGGTGCCCACCATCTTATACTACTTCCAGACTACACAGCATCCCCCACTGGGTATGCCCCTGTGCCTCACACAGCATCCTTTCCAGCACATTCTCTATTATTACTCATTTGTTCATTAAAGAGAAAAAACCTGTATTAATTGCCCACTTTGTGCCAGGCACTAAAGATTCAAAAGATGAACAAGATAATACTATTTCTTTCTTAAAGATTTAACAGTGCAGTGAGGGAGATACACAGGTTAGCAACAATTAACAAAATTGTGATGTCAGACATCCAAGATAAAAACAAAGTACTGTGAAAGCAGAAAGGAGAAAACATCTAAGTCTGCGGGGTGGGGGGTGGGGTGGGGTGGGGAGCAGCATCCAGAGAGAGAGAGAGAGAGAACAGCCTGTGTAAAGACAAAGAGATGGGAGAGAGGTTGTCATATTCTTGAAACTGTATAAAGGGATTTGAAGGAGATAAAACTGGATGGGCAAGGATGAGATCATGGATGGCCCTATAAGCCAGATTAAAAAGTGAAAAAGTTGAACTTCTTCCTGAAGGCAATAGGGAAGTACTGCAGGGTTTTAGTCAGGGAGTGAAAGAGTTAGAGCTGCACCTTTGAAAAACCAAAGAAAGCCAGGAAAAAACCCTGTTTTGGGTAGAGAACTGGAAGTAGGTAAGTCAGCCAAAAGGCAAAGGATATTGACACAAGTCAGTGTCACTAGGGCTGGAGTAGGGGATGAATCTCATGGATAAAACTGACGGGATTTAGGGAAAATTTTTAATTGCAATGAAAAGAAAACAATTTATGATAGCTCCCAAGTTTATGGTTTGGGTAAATATGGCAGGTTCCTGACAGAGAAGATAATTCAGGACATACAAAACTAAACCTTTTATCAAGAAAGGAAGTAGTTATATACCACTTTTCTGAACTTCTCTTTCCCATGGAGTCTACAATAACATTCTATATATGATTTGGGGGGTGGGTAGCTTAAATTTTAAAGATCAGGCAATGCAGCTTTGGCAGAGAAAAGTTAAGTAAGGGTTTATCATGCAATAATCTAAATAGATGAGCTATCCTCTGCCCCAAAAAATAAATAAATAAATAAATAAACCATACCTTGAATTTTTTCTCCAAAAGTCTTTTGCCCACCTTCCTGAATAACCAGGATCACAGATGTCAGAAATAAGTGCAGTACGAGAAAAGATAAGGAGTCTTCCTATGGCTTTTGAACTAAGCCAAGAGGAAAACTTCTAGCATAGATATTAAAGATCCAACTGCAAAGCTCCATGCCCTGGACCCAAAGTGAACACCTAAGTCCAACCACCAAACCACAACTTGCAAAGTAATCATTTTAACCAAAGGCACATGCATTCAACCTCAGTCCCAGACTAAGCATCCAGCAATCCCCCATTCAAAATAGCAGTTCCAGAGCCTATTAGTCTAGGGTCTCATCCTGAGATACACAGCCTAGCTCTGGCTTAATTTCTCTAACATCAGTCCCCTCTCCCCTTTTCCCAGACATATTTTGTACCTGTTTTGGAGTTTCAGTTATTTCTTCTTATTGAAGCTTACCAGATCTGATCATCCAAAGAACAGAGCTGATTCTTTCACCCAAAAATAAGATGAAAATCAATGCCTTCTCTCCCCCAAATACAAGGTAAGAACAAACAGTAAAATCCCCAATCAACAACAGCCCCAAAAGGAGAGAGAGAGAGAGAGAGAAAAGCCTTTGAGAGATGAGTCAGCCTAGATGCTTACAATTCCGAAGGAAATCAAAGGCCTTAGAATAAACCGTTTGTCATTGCCTCCCTGGTCCAGCACACAGGGCTAAACTTAAGAGCAGTTATATGCTGCAGTTCTACCAGAAAAATTGGCATTGCCTTACTTGCCTTCAACCTTCTCGAGGTGCCAGTAGCCTACAATACAGAAGCAGAGTTAGGAAGACCAATGTCCCCCGACAAGAAGCAGACGGGTGGGGTGGGGAAGGGAAATGAGTAGGCAGGCTTTAACACTGTGAGAGAGGCACATAACAGGTTCTTGAGATTTGAATACTCATTCTCAGGCCTGACATTCCAAGCTAAACAGAAAAGGAGGCCCCCTACAGGAAAGAGGTGCCAAGAGACCTCTCTTGCTCCAGAGTCTTTCCCCTTACCCCTTCAGTATACTATGGCACTAGCCTGAAATGACCATGAGATTCGAAAGAAACTCAAGTAGGAAGATGAAGGCAAACCAATTCAGTTTCAGTCTAGAATTCAAAACATTTGCAGAAACACTATGTTTAGACAAATACCTGTACTGGTGTTACAGCCAAATAGAACTGAGTTCAACTTCAAGCTCTATGATTTCTTAGCTGTGTGATCTTAAGAAAGTCAGTTGAATTATCTGAGCCTCAGTGGCCTTCTCTATAAAATGGTGAAATGACACAGTATCCATTTCAGTGGTTGTCTCAAAGTTCAATGAATAATATTATGTGTGATATTTAGCATTGGTTTTTAATAAACATATTATTAAAGGTTCTTTGCAGAGGGCCGAAGTTTACAAAAAAAATCAGGTTTCAAAAGTAATTACATCAAATTAGAATTTGTATCAATGCATTGAACAGTCTACTCTGTTCAGTCTCCAGTAAATCTGAATTAAGTGAAGAGATCTTAGACTTTGGGAAATAGATCTTCCTTCTTCATTCTCCAATTTCACAGGCTCAAGTATTTAAAAAATCATATCATAAAATTTAGAAAAACTAACTGCATAGGTTAATATTTTAAATGTTATTATTCAGATTAATAAAGTGCCTTTATATCCCGAAATTTGTTCTCTTTCAAACCATCCAATTCTACATTGTCACTAGCAAAAAAAAATGAATAAATAAAAAACAAACCAAAAAAACCATATGATTTTATTTGGATCAGTGAAGAGGCTAGAATATTAGCAGATACCAAGAGGAAGAATTTGAACAAAGAGTAGAAAGGCACAAATCAAGTCCCCATCAATACAAAAAGGGTAAACACACTTGCATGGCAAGAAGCCTGTTCCTCACGTCCTCCCAAAATGCATGGCACAGATGGAGAAACAAATTAGCATCAGAAAGGTCAACCACTTAAACATTGTGAGGACTGAAATGATTTCAGCTAAGCATAAATCCACAGCCTTCATGATTTGGAGGAGTAATTTACTCCATTGGCCCCATCAAATAGGAATGGTGTAGTGCTTACTAGTAAACACCTATGGAAAAACATGGGAGTGCACTGATGCCATGGTTTAAATCCTTATAAATTAGGTACTTTATGGCATCACCAGAATTTTGTTCCAAGCCTCTGAGAATGCCTCAGAGTTTGGGAAATTGACAGTGCATGGGGCTGGGTGCCCAGAAGGTATTGCATCTACATTATTCAAATGTCTACAGGCAGTGGCAATGGATAAAGACATCCCCATTAATATATTACAACATGGGGAAGAGATATGGGTTTCTATATGAAAACATTTGGGCACCAATTTGGTCTGCTGACACATTCGCTTATTCATTCCAGAGCATTAATGAGTTAGCCTTAAAGTTGTTATCCCATAACCTCCATTTCAGCAAAGGCTGCTGATGCAATGAACAAAATGGCTCATTTTATACAATGCGGTCATGATGCTCCAAGATAATTAAATCCAGGGATAGTGTTCATCAATACATTGAGTCAGCCCATCATGTTATAACAGAAGCTCATAAACTAGAGGTAGTATTACTTTTAAAATATGTGGAGAAAAACCCTGGCTTCAAAAAAATAAGAAAGTTTCAGGAACATTAGAATATGAGAATGTTTCAGAAATAGGACCTTAGCCATCCCCTGGTCTGAAATCTCCATTCTACAGGTCAGAAAACGGAGGTTTAGAGAGGGACAGGGGTTTTCCCAAGACCACACAGTTATTTCACAGCAGAGCTTGGACAAGAACCCACTTCTCTTCAGTTTCAGAGCTCTTGGCATTGACACACCAATGTTTGCTCTCACTAGCTGCAAGATTCTGCATTGCTAAATAAAGAAATTGAAAGAATACACACATAATCAAAGCCT